AATGTTAGCAATGCTGAAATCGCAGTGGCGGTAGCCAATTGGATGTATGGCCACACGAAGCTTCGGTGAACTGAATAATTAAATTGAAATTCCTTGTAATTTGAATATTCGACCGAAGTTTCACAGAGTATTCATAGAGAAATACGCTTCTACAAGCAATGTGATTACAGAAAGTGAAAAGGGGATTGAAATAGGTCTCTTGGAAAGCGCGGCATTCGAATTCTGAGCAAAATCATTTTGAAACCATAAGATAACACGGAATTTTTTTAATTCACAAGTTCGACAATTCACTGCTGGATAAATGATGATTAAATCAACTATGTCATAATTGTATCCATCAGTCAGCTATGTAAATTCGGCTTGCAATTAGGTGATTTCGTTTAAAGTATAATAACATCAAGTCATAAATATCATGCAATTATTAAACGAAACTTGGAAATTCAACGCTTTGACAAAAGTTGCGGATTATGCTCAAAGAGCGAGCTTTCGATTGATATGGAAATTATGAAATTACTCTCAAAGGAAACAGGGATATGCTTCTGAATGATCCATAAATTTATACTCGCGACTGCTGACGTTGACGTGTACCAATTTAATGACCTTGCTGTGAAATCGTCGGATGAAGCTGCCAACTTTGAAATTAATGCATATGACGAAAGTTTCATATTCTGCGCACGAAAGGTTTCGAGTGATGTATTGAAAGAGAAGTTAAATGAAATAATTGATGCAGAGGACCACGTGAAGTTATATTAACTCAGACTCAGACCAGATAATAGAGAACATTGACTTAGCCACCTGGGGCAGTTACCACGATGGAGCCATAAAATTAAATTAAATTCATTTGTATTCGTATTTTGACAACTGCATCGTATTGTACTCAAAAGAAACTTTCCAGTGACATGATGGGTGAAGTTAAATCATTGATGCGGATGACCATATGCCAACGACAAATTCTAACTCCTGACCTCAGACTGCGTGCTGACGTGTCGACATCACACAATCGTCAGAATAAAATTGTAGTAGGAAATTAATTTGACAACGGCATCATACTTTCCTCAGAAAGAGCTCTCCATTGATATGTAACATAATGGGTTGAATCACGCAGTTGGTGCAGCTGACCATCGTCCACTAATACAGATTCGATGCGGCGACTGTTGAACCTAGCGCTGACCCAAACCTGTGGTCTCCTCCAAACTTCATATACCGCTGCGAGTGCACAACTGGAAGACCTCGACTCAGGTGAGACGATGAGTTAAATGAGTGATATGAAAGCTAGTGAGGACAAGTCGTACGAGATGGAGGAACGTGGGTAATGGCGATCCTCATTAATCGCAAAGAAAGATCGATGTCTTATTGCTGCTGCTGATATACGGATCAATTACGATCATAACTGATCAAGTCCAAGTCGATTATGGTAAATGACTCGAGCTGATTGACGGCCTTTGTATGATTCTCGTCAGTGCGTGAATAAAGTTCATACTGATTTGCATTTAATTGGCTTTCAACACCGGGGACGACGTGGGCAACTTTGCGGATGTTACAGTACCCTTTCAAAGTAAATATTCCAAATTTTTATGACTTTATGATATGCTATTTTCGAATGAGTACTTTTGTTTTGTGAGATTTTCAATCGCTACTTGTCGTCAGTAACTGAACCAGGGCCATGGGCAAAGTTTCAGTACCTTCAAATGCCATTATGTATCCAAGAACTAGAGGCACAGTCAGCGCGATCTACAGTCGCCCGCAGATGCATCGTCAGTGACTCTTACCTCTCCGATTCAGGATTCTCAAAAACCTGAACGAGCAGGAAGGATCTGCTGTGCACAGGGGCAGGTGGTGGCGAGTGTCCATTCATCGGTGCATGCGCGTATTTGTTTGTTTGCAGCCTACATCACGTGTTGATTATCATACTGACAACTCTCTACCACGTGGATCAAAGAGAGGTATAATCATTGAGGCTCGACGGCGCAGAGGCGACGAGGTCAGCTTTGGACCCCAGGTGTTGGGTTCGAATCCGCTGAAAAGATAGCCTTTGTCTTAGCCGTGAATCCCTTTAAGCAGGGAATTAATCCCATGTTGCTTCAGCGCAGCCAGCCTAGAAATGAGTAGTAGGTCGGTAACTTACGAATAAGAGGGACAGCATGATATTTTGGTCTGGTCATGCCAGAATGGGCGAAGTAAACGCCATGCTATCTGAAGCGAGCATCCATTTTGGCTGCATTTGACAATGACCTGCCTGATGCCTGATTATCCAGTGTAATAATCAATACAACGTATAGCCCTGATTATGAGGCCATCGTATCAGACAGTATGATCGTACTTCTCGCTCTGTCTGATGCGACCAGACAAGAATATTTTACTCTCCCAGTTGTTTGTCAGTCTACAACTTGCCATCCGTTTCTTGGCTGGTTGAACACAGACAATATTGGGTGAATTTTTGCTTCAAGGGAATTTACGGTTAAGTCTCAGATCGTCCCTTCGGACGGGTTCGCACTCGTGAGTTCGAAGCCGGCCCTTTTACCACTGTGCCACTGAGGTCCTAAGCGTGTTTGTGCAGCCGTAGATGAAATGATATCGTTCGTGTAAAAGAGGTCCATAAGACGCACCTCCGAGTTAGCGCTAGGTTCTTGCTAGATATTCAGAGCTTTTGTATAATCAAGTAATTAATTTAACAACTAAACAACGTTAGGAGCAGCATTGTCACCTTACCTCACAACATTTCTGTCATTTCATTTGCATAAATTCAGAGGGCGTTTTCTCCATTCACAGCACATACGGTCCCACCGCGCGGCTACTTCACGATACCAATGATATTACTTGCCATGCCATAGTCGTGTGATGTTTCTCACCATGTGTAATCCATTGTGCATAAATTTAGTTCACGGTATATAGGCCAATAAAGATTTTTGTCGTTCATCATTGTTGGTTGTTGCTTGCTTGTTCTACTGTTTTGAGTAATGACAGTTACGTAGCCAATGCAATTAAACGACTTTTTCTCTTACCTCAAAATTTCACACCTGCTGTACAACAGAGCCACGGGGAGTACGGCCCTCATCAACTGACCTTAATTTATTATATTGTTCCCAAATTCTGAACTGACCCTCTAACGGTATGAGGTAGCGTCGTAGTCGTGCAGTGAATCATTACTCGAAGAGCAGCATCACGAATAACTCACCAAAAAACCG